AGTGGGGGGCGTGAAGAGTGTTGAGGGGACTGTGAGGGCTGGATGTGTACTCTGGAAACACCCCCAGGGGCTGTAACATCAGAGGGGAGTCCAGGGCCCCTTGAGCAGGAGGGAGGGGACAAGAAGCTGGAGGAAGACGCCCATCCAAATAGGTTTTGGCTGGGGCTCTGTCACCATAAACCACGCAGGGAAGGAGCCAGAGCAGGGTGAAGGGAGGCGTGGGTGCGGGGGGAGGGACCAAAGGCTACTAAGATACGAGGGGGATCACAGTGGGGGGGTCTCACACACCCCAGTGTCCTCACCTCTGTCCTCTGCCCTTGGCCCATGGCAGGCCCCACCAGCAACGCTCTGCAGAAGGCGGATGTGCAGCTGATCCCACAGGACCTGTGCAGCGAAGCCTACCGCTACCAGGTGACGCCACGCATGCTGTGTGCCGGCTACCGCAAAGGCAAGAAGGACGCCTGCCAGGTGACTCCCACAGGCCTTGGACAAGAGGCGGGGAGGGCGACGTCCCGGTAGCCTTAGGAAGCCCCCAGCCTCCCGGCAAGGTGGCGGCAGCCGGTCCCACTTCGCAGATGAGGAGACTGAGGCTCAGAGAGGTTGAGGATTTGCCCAGGGCTACAGAGCCACAGATCAGAAGAGACCCCGTGGAGGGCAGGTCTTGGGCTCAGACCCAGTTCTGCTCCTTGCCCCCTGCAAGGCACTTGGCCCAGGGTCACACAGTAAAGGGGGCACAAGGAGGAAGGGAGAGTGTCAGCCACAGAGGGGGGCAGAAGCTGGTGAGGGGCACAGGGGCACTCGGCGACAGCTCCGGGAGGGCCAGGATCCATGGAGGCCAGGCAGGGGGGTCAGGCCCTCTCCCTTGGCGGGTGGGGGGAGCAGGGTTTCAAAAGCGGGGGGTGACTGTTGGACCTGGCAAACTCTCCACATCAGGCCTTGCCCAGCAGGGGCTGCCTTACCTTCATGCAGCGGTTTCTCTTCTTCCCCTCTCAGGGTGACTCCGGCGGTCCACTCGTGTGCAAGGCCCCCAGTGGCCGCTGGTTCCTGGCTGGGCTGGTCAGCTGGGGCCTGGGCTGTGGCCGGCCCAACTACTTTGGCGTCTACACCCGCATCACAGGTGTGATCGGCTGGATCCAGCAGGTGCTGACCTGAGGAGCTGCCCCTGCAGAGTGGGGGGGGCCCTCCCAGACTCGGAGAGCCCAGGGCACCTGCCAGGCGGGAGACAAGTATCCTGGGGACAAGCAGGCCCTGTGGAGGCAGGAGGCAGCATCCTGTCCCCCGATCTTCGCCCTGACTCTGCCGCAGCTTCAGCAGGAGAAGGGAGGAGGGCCATATGCTGGTGGTCAAGACGTCCCCCGAGGACCCAGGCCCAGCTCAGTTCACCCATTTTGCCTCCCGATTCTCTCTCCTCCCTCCTATTCCTTCACGGCTACCTTTCAGGGCAGCGATAATGCTGGCTTCCAGGTACCCAGCAGGAGCGTCTGACACCTCCTCCCAGTGCAGGGCTGATTCCAGCCTGTGAAGCCCCTGGTTTAACTTGGAAGTTGGGGGGAGTGGCCCCATAGGAAGGGATCCCCCAGAGCCCTGGTGACTGCCAGGTGGCCCAGCTGCCACCGTCAGCCAAAGGGTGGGAAGCCTGGGCTCCAGGGTCCTTGCCCCACCTCCATCACCCCCTGGGCCTTCACTGCCAGACCCCAGCTCACTGGGAGGTGACCTCAGTGGCTCTGTGGAATAAAGCTACCTGACTCAGGGCCCTGCTGCTGGAGTGTGAATGGGGACGGGGCACCAGCCTCATGCCCCTGGCCGAAGCGGACCCTGCTTCCTTCTCAGCCTGTTCAACAAGTGTCCAGAGGCCAAGGCTGCGTCAGGGGAGGCATGGCCACTGAGGGTTGAGATCTTCAGGACAGCTGCCAGGTCCGGGGAGGAAGCCCAGGAAGGGCAGAGCGAGGGACAGGACCAGTGACGGGCTCCTTCTGGAACTCGGGGAGGAAACTGAGGCTCGGAGAGGGGTCAAGACGTCCCCAGGATGGCACTAGGGGCTAGGAGTGAGGCAGCCCTGAACTCCGTCTCCTGTCCGCTGCCTCCCTGGCAGTGCACGCCTGCTCCCTTGGCACTAAGTCACTGACTGGGTGAGCATGGCAGGGGCTCCAGGTCTGTGCCCAGTACTGGCTAGGGCCACAGAGAGCAACAGGGGGATGACGGTCCTGCATGAAGGGCCATAGGGGAACACGGGCAAAACCTGGAAGACCGGGGAGGCTGCCTGGAGGAAGAGACTTGAGCTGGGGCTCAAAGGGGGTTGAGGCGGGAAGGGCATGTCCAAAGGCACAGAGTCCCTTTGGCTGGAACAGAGCTTAGGAGGGGAAGCATGGAAGAGGATTCAGAGGCAAACAGGTGGGGTGCCCAGAGTTTGGAGACGAGCTAAGGATTTGACCTTGAAAGCAGTGGGGAGCTGTGGAAGGCTCTAGAGCGGTAACAGGAGTGGCTTCCCATTTTAGGACCACCCACTGGCATGGATATGAAAGGAACTGTGGGCAGGGAGGGCCCTGCAGAAGTCTAGGAAGGAGAAGATGGGCTGGACCCAGCAGGGGGTGGGCTGGAAGACTATTTAGGACAAGTCAACAGGACCATGGGGTCACTGGTCTCTCCGGGGCAGTGGTGATGAAGCCAGGAGGCCAGCTGGAGGTAGTGGGCGCAGCCAAATGTGGACAACTCTTTCTGGAAGCCCAGCCAGGAGCAGAGGGGAGAGAGGGAGCTTCTGAGGGGACCTGGAGAGAGGCCTTGGAGATAGGGAGCCATGGCCATGTCCACAGGTGGATGGGGCGAAGGGGCAGCAGAGACCAGCTGGGTCTTGCCAGGCGGAGATGGGGCCATCACGTGGGTGTTAGAGCATGCCTCTGTGGGGCCTCTCACGGGCTCAGTGGGATGGGCAGAAATCAGTGTTGGAATCACCTTGGGTGCTTTGCTCAACGCAAATTCATGGGTCCTAGTCAGGATCCCGGCCAGAAGAGGCTCATCTGCCTCTCACCTAGAAGCTTGCTAGAGGCTCTTGCCAGCAAAATTGGACACAAAAGCGAGGTATGCTTTGGGAGTGGTATGTCTTCAGGAAGTGGTGAGGGACTCCAGAGAGCGGGCAGAGGGTCCCCTGGCCTGTGTCTGGGGCTCGCTGCCTGGCAGGGGCCTCCCCCAGACGCAGGGAGCCCTGGCAGGACTAGGGAGCCGAAGGGGCCGGCCAGGTGGATGGAGGGCCAGGCTGGGCAGGAAGGAGAGGCCCGATGCCCAGCTGACTAGCGAAGATGCAGCCCAGTTGTCTGCATTTCCCAGGACTTAGGGCAGAAGGGCAGTAAAACAGGGAGAGGTGGAAGTGGTCAGCAGTGTTGAAACAGGAAGTGGAGGGGGCATCCTGGGGACTCTGGGACGTGGCAGATGCAGCCAGGGTTCTGCCTAGAATGTCCACTTCCCGTTTCTCTGGGTGTCTGGCCATGGCCCAAGCCCTCCCTCGCACACATGAAAGGGACAGCAGGACAGGTCCCTGGGCTTTAGGGAAAAGCCCCACCCCCCCGTAGGTTTGCCTCACCTTGAGTCTAGCCTCCGTCCCCAAAAGCAGCCCAGAGAAAGAGAGGGAGGCAGCCAGGCTGGGCTGTTTCTTCAGGTTTATTATGTGGTGGGGTCGGACACAGCTGAGAAGCAAGGCCCCATCCCCGAAAGCCAGACGCAGAGGGGCCCTGGCACAGCCCACAGACCAACTCTCCCCGGGGCAGTCCCTCGTCACAAGGTCCGAGTGGCTCCCCAGCCCCTGCTGAGCCCCTTTTGCGCCCCCATGCCAGGCCAGACACTGCCAGCAGTGCAAGGGCAGCTGAGGTGAAGGCCGCCTGCTCCCTCCTGGCACGGCCGAATCCCCATGCCCTTCGACCCCCCAAATGCCTG